CACTCGGGCCTTCTGCCCTTTTCACTGTCTCCGAATGGTTATTCATCTTCTTTCCGTGATCATAATTCGGCTTTAACAGCACAAGAGGTAATTATGACCCATTGTGCATAATTTTTTTTGACAATATAACATAATATCGTGCGAACAAACAGCGATTGCAAGTAAAGTAAGATATATAACTAAATAGAGCTCACTATAACTGTATTACATAATATTGGGCTATATTTGGTTTGACTTTGGTTAAATTTACGGTATTTACCTATCTACAACTCACTATACGACATGTGCAATATGTTATATATCAGGTAAAACTCCCTCAATATCCTAGCAGTAGCATGCACCCACAAAAACAATGGCTTGCTCAGCATAACAGTGGAGTGGGGCCCACACATTTGAACGACTGGAAAAATGGAAGCACGGGCCCACCACCACCCATGGTGAACTGTGCTCGACGAGCTCTTTTACCTCATTTGCTGGGCCCAACAAAGGATCAGCAATTTATGTCGTCTGCTATCAGCAGCTCGTCTTTGCCTCTTCAAAACATGAAGATTAATAGCCGTTATCATCAACAACTACTCCATAATCGTCAAATCCCTTTGGGATTTTTCGAGAGAAATTTGGCTGCCTTTTGTTCGGATAATATACAGCAGTTGCAACTTCCATGAGCAATGGCTGTGGTGGGGTTATGAATTTATAGAAGGAACCATAGTTTTTTTTTTATTTCCTTTTGGACATGGTGGGGTTAATTATTATTGTATCCAATGTTTGATTACCCCATTTTGGATTTATGTACATGTTTTTATTACATGCTTATGTCAGTGTATCTTGAATGTTAATTCTTAGTAGATTTATATTATCTGTAATAGTGATATACACTTTACTTTCACACAGGCATAACACGATAAGATAAAGAATAAAAATCTCTCAAATTTTGCAATGTGAACCCCTAATTAATGCAGAATTTACTGAAATATCCATAGATGCAACCATTGAACTCATCAATCAAAGAACACCTTGTCAATGCAGCATTCTATACAACAAGACCTTCATCCTTTGCGGGAAAGCGAATAATGAATGAGAATCGTGATTTTGCAGAGTAATAACAACAGATACGGCTCGATTGTCTTCATTCCTGCTTTTCCAGTTCCCCCATTCTCTCTATGATGGCCTGAAATGTAAATAAAGTCAAAGAAAAACAAAAGCTATTGTTCAGAGGCAAGAAAGTAAACATGTATCATTTATACTTGATGTACGAATGAAGAAGGTGAGGTTTTGTATACACATATTTCTCGCTAATTCAACTACAACAACATAGCCTTTTTGTCCCAAGCAAGTTGGGGATTTCTCATGTGTTTCATCTCCATAGAATGGCTAGGTTTTACGTTGGCTCGCCAAGCCTATTTCTCGCTAATTATTTGCAGCATATTCCATGGTAAACAATGCTGCTTCTAAGTTCTATCTATTCATCACATAACAAAATAGCTCGTCTTGGGGGTAAAACTGTAAAGTTATACCTATTCTCATCACAGAAGGTGAGACCATTATAATTTTTTTACCTTCTTGCTCGTTTCTTGTAGTTCCCCAGCAAGTATGAACTCATCGAGTATGAGGTATACCTACGAAAAACACACACACACACAAAAAAAAAATAATAATAAATAAAAAATAAGAGAAAATTAATAAGCACAAGTAATATAACGCATGTAATATAACCTGGGAGTACTCGAAAAAGCAAAAAACAGGGGCAAATTTTTTAACTAGAAAGTTGGAGAAAAGCAATGAAGCATTCTATTTGGCATATCATGACTTCTAATCAAGTTTACAAAACCAAAATTTCAATAAACAAATAACAAAATACGTAACAAAATTATCAAGCATCATAGGCCGATTAAGAAACACAAAAGGGTAAATATGATTTATCACCACATCGCAAGAAATTTAAAAAAATAACGACATGTGATCAGATTATATCGACCTTCCAACTCATATTCGTGAGTCCCAACATACCTTGTGGAAATTGAACACTAAATCTAGCTCACATACGTTGCTGAAGAAGTGATCAAGTATCTCCACAAACAAATGAATGCTCTCCAAATAAGCCAAATCATTGTCGGTTATATCCACACACAAGGAGAAAAATAGCCCAGCATATCTTCTGTATATAACCTTGTGGGTCCTAAACTGCGAGATGAATTGACAATCGTGCACCATAAATCCATAGTCATGCCAGGTCAGAAGAATCGTGAGTAAAGAAACTGGGGATAGGATGAAAGACACAAAGAACTTCATCTTGGTCTCAATTTTAATGATCTTTTTCACTTCATCTAACAAATCTAGATTAAAAGAAAAAAAAGGATAAAGATTTACATATCCAATCATTAGCAGTTTATGATATCAGATTGCCTAATAGACCAACTTCGAATAGCTGCAGCTCGGTTTGGCTGGTGAAAGCTCGAGTTCAACTCGTTTGTTTACGTCAACGAGCCAAGCTGAGCTCGTTCACAAACAACTGTTTATTTTTAATTTTTTTTTTAAGGTTTCAAACGAACAGCCGACCAAAGCATGTTTGCAAACAAACAAATCTCATTCACAAACAGCTTTTTTACGATTTCAGGTTTGTTAAACAGTTGAGTCGAGCCAAGCTTTCACAACCAGAACCCATTAAACAAGACGAGCCGATTAAACGGGATTGAGCACGAACACTAAGTGCTCGGCTCGACTCAAATAACACCTCTAAGGGATAGGTTAGCATGTTCAAATTCATCATTCATTATGATAATCAACAAAAAAACAATCACTATTCAGAGACAGTGAGAACTGCTGACCTCCACAAAGTTGGTGAATTTGGGATCCCTATTGACGACCAGCCGATGAACCTACATTCGTAAGTTCAACAATCAACATTACATTACAATCTTGAAAAAAAAAAAAAAAAAAATTAAACCTTTACATAATTGAAACGAAATTGGGAAGAAAAAAAATGGGGGAACCATTACCTCGTACTCGACCTTGTGCTTCTCGGACTCCTCGAGAGGAACGTAGTACTTGGCCAGTCGAGTCTTGCCCTGCCTGTTCTGAAGCAGTATAAAGCGGATCTGCAAATATCATATCAAGAGAAAAAAAAAATGTCAAAATCGGACAACTTTGAAGGCGAAAAGTGTGTGAGATCGAAGTTGGGCAATCGAGCTCGACAAGATTTTCACTTTACCATGATTGATAGATCGATCGATCGAGAGACGAGGATCCCAAATGCAGCTGCAGACAAGGTTTTGATTTGAAATTTCGATTGGATTTGCAGCTGCAGACATGGTGTGCTATTTTTTATTTGATATCCATATTATATATATTGAAAATAAAAAAAAAAGTTTTTAATAATAAGTTTTTAATAGATAACAATTAAATTATATATCAATTTTAATTGGAATATAATATTATTTAGGAATTAAAATAAAATTTGTTTGAAATGGCCTATTATATGATATGAGTAAAAAAAAAATTAATATAATACATGACAAGCTGAGTATTAGGATGACAATTGTCATCTCTTTAATAAAAATTGCAATACAAGTTAAAGTTCTTAAATAATTATTTATATTTTATTTTTATAATTTTTAAATATGCAATTTAATTTAAAAAACCCTTGCAATAAAGTTGTGCAACTACTAATTGATAACTACAGTAATCATCTCATACTCACGGTGAACACATGTTAATATGTCCACCGCTTATGTGGCATTCACACATTAGTGATGTATTTTTTTAAACATATTAACATCACCAATATGTGCATGTCACATAAACGGGGATATACTAAGCCCTCTTGATAACTATTGTGGAACTCCAAAGTTGAACTTAAATAATGAGTTAGGTAAATTACCTGCCAAGAACATAGCAGACTGAATGAGTTAAATACATGTGGGGTTGATTAAATAGCTATACTCCAAAGTCTTTAATTAATTGTTATTAAATAAACAAATTAATGAGTCAATGTAATGGTTAGATAAGTCGAACTATCATATATTTTTAATAAAAAAAGCAATACTAATGCTATGAAATATGATATTTTTCGTTATTTTTCGATTTAAAGTAGAACATGTTAATTTTAAAAATATACAAATTTACTGAAAAATTATTACTAATGTTGGACGAACACTGAAATTCCTCCAATAGTTAAATGCATATTTTTCTAAGGTTACGTATCAACTTCTAGGTTTCGTATCATATGTATCTAAATTTTTGTTTTGGAGTGCATGTAGATATAGATTAATATTCATGTTTATTAGAATTTTTAAAATTATAAAAAACTTTATGAAGTCAAATTATAAATATATGTTGAAACTTAATCATTTTTCATTTGTTATAATTTTTTAGTGGTATATCAAATTAATTATTTTTTTCTGTTTTCTTGATTTCGTACGTCATATAATATAATAAAAATTTATACCTGCATTAGATAATAAAAATTGAATTATCTAATATATTCTAATTGAAAAATAATAGTATTATTATTAATTATTAATTAAATTGTTTTTTATGTATGTGTTGCAAAATTTTATAAGTAGGACAAGTAAATCTTTACCCGCGATAAATATCATTTTAAATAAATTTTTTTTTTAGAAAGTGTTTTAAAATTTAATTAAAATATTCAATTTGTTGAATTTTTAATTTGCACACTATTTCTATTTCGTGCTTGTTTGGGAGCACTTTTGTATAAGTCTATTTTTCAAATGGACTTGTGCAAATGGACTTTTCCCAAAGTCATCATGCTCTACTTTTACATTATTGATTTTTTGGGAAACTAATTTACCTTTAAGTTCATTTTTAGTTTAGCACCAAACATAACTAATTGGGAGATACTGTTGAAGTTTGTAACTATTATATCAACTGTCTCTGACGAGTATGATGATTTAATTGTCACAAACCCCAACCAAATAGTTTCGTAAATGAAACCGTAACATTTCCCTAACTTATCTATCCACGTGGATTTTCTCACTCAAAAGTCCATTTGAAAAATATTTCTAAACGAGCTCTAAATATTACGGAGATTTACAACACATTGTAGGAAAATGCTACAGTCTCATTACGGGATCATTCTGTCGGGATTTGTAACCAATAAATCATCATATAATGTCGAAGTTGGGCAATCGAGCTCGACAAGATTTTCACTTTACCATGATTGATAGATCGATCGATCGAGAGACGAGGATCCCAAATGCAGCTGCAGACAAGGTTTTGATTTGAAATTTCGATTGGATTTGCAGCTGCAGACATGGTGTGCTATTTTTTATTTTATATCCATATTATATATATTGAAAATAAAAAATAAGTTTTTAATAATAAGTTTTTAATAGATAACAATTAAATTATATATCAATTTTAATTGGAATATAATATTATTTAGGAATTAAAATAAATTTGTTTGAAATGGCCTATTATATGATATGAGTCAAAAAAAAAAAAAAATTAATATAATACATGACAAGCTGAGTATTAGGATGACAATTGTCATCTTTTTAATAAAAATTGTAAAAGTTCTTAAATAATTATTTATATTTTATTTTTATAATTTTTAAATATGCAATTTAATTAAAAAAACCCTTGCAAAAGAGTTGTGCATCTACTAATTGATAACTACAGTAATGCTCTCATACTCACGGTGAACCCATGTTAATATGTCCACGGCTTATGTGGCATTCACACATTGGTGATGTATTTTTTTAAACATATTAACATCACCAATATGTGCATGCCACATAAACGGTGGATATACTAATATATGCCCAATGTCGCATTATTCTTGATAACTATTGTGGAATTCCGAAGTTGAACTTAAATAATGAGTTAGGTAAATTACCAGCCAAGAACATAGCAGACTGAATGAGTTGAATACATGTGGGGTTGATTAAATAGCTATACTCCAAAGTCTTTAATTAATTGTTATTAAATAAACAAATTAATGAGTCAATGTAATGGTTAGATAAGTCGAACTATCATATATTTTTAATTAAAAAAAAGCAATACTAATGCTATGAAATATGATATTTTTCGTTATTTTTGATTTAAAGTAGAACATGTTAATTTTAAAAATATACAAATTTACTGAAAAATTATTGCTAATGTCGGACGAACACTGAAATTTCTCGAATAGTTAAATGCATATTTTTCTAAGGTTACGTATCAACTTCTAGGTTTCGTATCATATGTATCTAAATTTTTGTTTTGGAGTGCATGTAGATTTAGATTAATATTCATGTTTATTAGAATTTTTAAAATTATAAAATCTTTATGAAGTCAAATTATAAATATATGTTGAAACTTAATCATTTTTCATTTGTTATAATTTTTTAGTGGTATATCAAATTAATCATTTTTTTTTTCTGTTTTCTTGATTTCGTACGTTATATAATATAATAAAAATTTATATCTGCATTAGATAATAAAAATTGAATTATAATATATTCTAATTGAAAAATAATAGTATTATTATTAATTATTAATTAAATTGTTTTTTATGTATGTGTTGCAAAATTTTATAAGTAGGACAAGTAAATCTTTACCCGCAATAAATATCATTTTAAATAATTCTTTTAGAAAGTGTTTCAAAATTTAATTAAAATATTCAATTTGTTGAATTTTTAATTTGCACACTATTTCTATTTCGTGCTTGTTTGGGAGCACTTTTGTATAAGTCTATTTTTCAAATGACTTGTGCAAATGGACTTTTCCCAAAGTCATCATGCTCTACTTTTACATTATTGATTTTTTGGGAAACTAATTTACCTTTAAGTTCATTTTTAGTTTAGCACCAAACATA